TTGACCGCACGTAAAGGGAGCTCAATTAATGAAATATTTTTGGTCTTAAGTGTATTAGTCACACGCGTGATAATTGTGCAGCTAAGTTGCATCCATATTCTTCACGAACGTTACTCAACTATATATATATTATGGTTTCTTTTACCATATCCTTTATATTTAATAAAATACCAATTATATTTTTTCTGGCGACTTGTATATTATGTATTAATTTATTTTACTTTGTCAATCTATGAATTCATCTATTATATTGTTATTATTTATAATATTTACCCGTTCAATATTTATTTATTAAATCTAACAACAATACTTAACACATCTATATTGTTACATTCGCGATATTTATATATATATTTAATAACTGCTCTGCATATTTATAAGCTCGCACCCTTTTATGTTGACTCGACTATATTACTCAAATCATTTAAGGATTCATTCTGTTATATCTTATTGATAAATTTTATAATCTACCACCTTATACACAAAATCAAGTCACTATTAACTAGCAACTGCCGAAGTGATATATCATTGTTCGTACTACTTAAGTCTAACGTAAACAAATTATTAGTTCTGTTACTCTGTGTAGCTTTAATGTACTATAAATTTAACACATTTGGGTACATATTTGATTTTGATTAATGGCTATAAATAATGTAAATAATTTGTACTGTTATTATCAGAATGTTCGTGGTCTTAGGACTAAATGTCTTGAATTACGACTAAATATTTTGACGAACGATTACGACATTATAATTATGACAGAATCATGGCTACACAGTGGAATTTTTGATGGTGAGTTGTGCGACGATAGGTATGACGTGTTCAGGGCTGACAGAGATTTGCGTAATAGTGGTAAAAGTACTGGTGGTGGAGTATTAATACTGACACGACGTACACTCGGTGCCATGTATCGTGACCTCGGCGTATGCGGTCTTACTGAGCTATTGTGGATTACTATTCCTACAAGCGCGTGCGCTTCAAATTCCAACTTACATATTTGTGTGGCATATATTGCCCCTGACCCTCATCAAATGCCATCGGATCTCGTTTTTATTAAACAAAAAATTAATAGTATTATCGAGCTTTCTCCAAATGATAATTTTGTAATATTAGGAGATTTCAACTTGCCGTTCATTTCTTGGAACCCAAACGGATATACAGCTTTGAAAAAAGGGCCTACTGAGGTACAAGAAGCGAGTATCCAGCTGATGGAAACACTAACATTTCACGGGTTAAGACAATTTAATACTTTAAAAAATCATGCTGGTAACACATTAGATCTTGCATTCTCTAATCTACCTCTGAATATCATCCCTGCGGCTGCGCCGCTACTCAGGGAGGACAACGCACATCCTTCTTTTTGCTTCATAGTTTTGGATTTAAACATTACTCCTCTACGAGAAACAGCTGCGCCGAGGCGAAATTTCAGGAGGGCTGATTATGAAAAAATTAATACATATCTTTTAGAACAGGACTGGAGGTCTCTTTTATGTACAGGCACTGTAGACGAAGCTACAAATACCTTTTATAACATACTGGATAGTTGTGTTCGTTTACATGTGCCCTTTAGTTATAACACAGGGAAGCGATCATATCCTAAATGGTACACACCTGCTTTAATAAAAATAATTAAGGAGAAAAACAATGCTCACACACGTTGGAAAAAATTCAGGAATAGATTAGATTACGATGAGTTTTCGTTACTCCGAGCAAGAGAACACCGTGTTCAGAGAGAATGCTTTAATAAATTTACGTCAAGTTGTGAAAATAACATCAAAACGCATCCTAAAACATTCTGGACTTTCGTCAAAGCCATTCGGGGTGGGTCAGGTTACCCTAAGAAAATGTCTTTGAAAGATATAGAGTACACCGATGGTATAGACATATGCAATGCTTTCAACTCTTTCTTCAAGAGTGTATTTGGTATTCCTAGTAATAACTACATATATCCACATACGGAATCGTTGTGTACTGACACCGTTTCTAATGTACAGACAAACGCTGCAATAATTGAAAAAATGTTGAAAACTTTGGACACGAACAAAGGTGCCGGTAGTGATGGGTTACCTTCTTTTTTTTGGTCACGATGCGCTAAATCACTTGCTCTCCCATTGACTATTATATTTAATCGCTCTCTACGTGAAGGGATATTTCCGCATCAATGGAAGTGTGCACACATAATTCCTGTACACAAGAAGGGATCACGTACAGAAATAAATAATTATAGAGGCATTTCTATTTTGAACACCGCGGCTAAAATCCTTGAACGAGTAGTATATAACGTAATTTACTCCACGCTTTCACGTGCCTTCCCTGAGCAGCAACATGGTTTTTTACAAAGGCGATCCACCACTACGAACCTGGCAAGTTTTTCTTCTTTTGTCCTTGAAAATATGGATCAAGGTGGGCAGGTTGATGTGATCTACACTGATTTTGAAAAAGCTTTCGATCGTGTGGATCACATGATCCTGCTCAACAAATTACAAATATTAGGGATTCACGGTGACTTGCTCCGATGGACTGAATCATATCTCACAAACCGCTCACAAGCAGTCGTGATAGGTGGTTTCCGTTCGAGCTACATAAACATACCTACAGGTGTTCCTCAGGGCTCTCACTTAGGTCCACTTTTTTACAATGCCTACCTATATGACATTGGTTCGTGCATTATACACACAAATTACCTCATGTATGCAGATGATAAGAAGATTTTTTGTAAAATTAACACCATACATGACTGCCTATTGATACAAAAAGACCTGGACCGTTTATTTGAATATTACAAAATAAATAATATAACTGTCAATGCAAGCAAGTGCGAATGTATTAGTTTTACACGGAAATCTAATCCAATTCTAAATAAATATCACTTTGACGGATTAGAAATCAGCCGAAAAGTAAGTGTTAGGGATTTAGGCGTAATTTTTGATCATAAAATGATACTATCCGAACACATTGATTACGTTATCAGTAAAGCCTATAAAAATCTTGGTTTTGTTCTTCGCATCTGTAAACCATTCTCGAATATTAATACAATTAAAATGGTTTATTTTGCATATGTCAGAAGTGTTTTGGAATATGCTAGTTCAATATGGTCTCCACAGTACAATGTCTACAAAAGCCGCCTTGAGCGTATTCAAAAAATATTTGTTAATCACCTTAACTTTCGCTGTCGGAATAAAATCGATACTTACACAGACAGTTGCACTGAGCACGATCTCTTATCTCTGGAACACAGGCGCATTTTGCTTGACATGGCTTTGTTATATGATATAATAAACAGTAATATTGACTGTCCATATCTTGTCTCAAAAATCACCTTTCGTACTCCAAAATTCCGTACCCGCAATACTACATTGTTACAGACTCCCTGGCATCATTCAAACTACTGTCGAAACACTGTTCTTTCGCGGCTTGTTCGTACATATAATGAACAATTTGGACACATTGACCTCTTTGCGAAATCTAAACTTACGTTTAAAGACTACATCAAGAAAACTATTACGAAATAGAGCAGTTGAAGTTAAATTCACATACAATCATATATTCTCTCATCTATTTCTTCTATATGTATTTTTGAGGCTACTAATATAAATATAAGTACTTAAGTTATTTTATTTAATATATATTATAATTAATTATTTGTATTATGTTTATATATTTAAACATTTAATATGTATATATACATAATATATATCTTATATGTTTATATATATATATATATATATACATATATATAAAGGTAATCTAATATATCATTCTACCTGACTATCTCTTCTGATCTGTAAACTTATGACCACCTTCATTACATTGAATTGCTTATAATTTTGCTTATAATTTATCTATTAGATTGTTCTTTTTCCTTTTCTTCTAACAACAATACACCTACCATCAAACAATATAAGGGAAACCTGTTATTGGCCATACTTTTAGTTTGTTACATTAATGTTAATATTTTCTATATACGCTGTTGGTTTTCTAAATAAATAAATAAATAAATAAATAAAAGAAACAAGGTTAAAAACAAATCAACCAAATTTTAACTCCTCATTATCTCATAATAAGTAGTCTGGGGTTACACCACTTTTGCGCTGATAGCCTCTAATTATACTCCACGTCATTTTAATGTTATTCTTAGCCATCTTAATTTTGTTACTAATATGTAATGATTTGGCTGTGGAGCAAACTTTTTTAAACATTTTAGAATATTTTTTACATATTCTTTAAAATCATCGGAAAGATTATAATATGATCTTTCATGGTAAAGGCCATATAACCTTCGTCTGCTTTTATGAATTCCTTCTGTCGCCCACTCATTAAAAGCCTTGCGACTGTTTCTGGAGAATGTTTTAGAAGTGAATGTTTTATTAAATTCATTGTTTATAAGGGTAAATAATTCTCTATATAAATAGTCTGCATTGTTCTTATAAGAAAGCGATGGAAGGTTTTTTACCATATTACTTCTAAATCTCTCCAGGCGTTTTGCATTAATAGGAACAAACACAAATTTACTTTGTTATAAGACCTGTATACTTTATATTGTTTATTTACTTAAAAGCTAAATCATATTATTAACTTTTTTAGAAGCTAAACTAATGTTATGTCATAGATACTATTTACTTTATATTATGTTATAAGGCCTGTATACTTTATATTGTTTATTTACTTAAAAGCTAAATCATATTGTTTACTTTCTTAGAAGCCAAACTAATTAGAATGTAATATTTAAATAAGTGAGTCCCACATAACCACACAGCCGACTGTCGTGGTATGCTTAGAGCATTCACCACCTCCATCCCCCACTTCCCGGAGGGTAGCCCTTTTCATTGCTACTGGGCGCAAAATAATCCCTCATCATTTCCCATTTCCAAGTTCTTTGTATCAACTTCTATATTTTAAGCTAGTTTAAACGTATGAAATAAGTTTATTTTTAAAAAAGAGTTTTTGTCTCTGCCACAAACAGTTCTTTCGAGTAAAATTACTATTTTATTTTAAAAATAATGTCAGGAGTGTCTTCTAAGTTTAAAAGAAAGATATCTAGTGATTTAGATTTAGAGATTAGATTGTTTTAAGATGAGTGGGAAGCTGATTATTTTGTTGTGCCAAACAAAAACAATGCAGCTACTTGTTTGATATGTCATGAAAATATTATATTGAAGAAATATAATATTTCACGTCATTTTACCATTAAACATAAATCTTTCGACGAAACGTTTTCTCCTGGATCTTCCTTGAGAAATGAGAAATTGAGTTTTTTTAAGAGATCTTTGCATCAACAACAAAATGTTATGTTTGTGGCATTATCACAAGACTCTGCGGTAACTAAGGCATCATATGAAATTTGTTCTAAATCATATGAAAACATTCTTAGTAAACATAATATGAAACTATTTTCCGATGCAGAAATTGTAAAGGAATGATTTGTTAGTGCTGCCAATATACTTTTTGATAAATTCAGTAACAAAACGCAAATACTACCTGATATAAAAAAAAAAAAAAAACTACAGCTCTCAGATATGTATGAGGCGTATAGAAGACATTTCTAAATTTATTCACGATGCTATATTAGATAACCTAAGAAAGGAAAAAATACAAATTTTTTAGCTTGGCTTTCGATTCTAGCACCGACATTTCAGCAACATCACAATGCTCGGTGTTTGTTAGATTTTGTACAGAAAACAATTTAATACAGGAAAGTTTTTTGAAATTTCTACCAATGAAAGGTCAAACCCGAGGCACAGATTACCTTGATGCTATTTGCAATTTTTTAGAGCAGAGTGAAATTGACATACAAAAATTGTGTGTCTGTGTACAGATGGTTGTCCTTCTATGATTGGATCCGAAAATGGATTTATTTTGTTATTTAAAGAAAAATATAATTTAACCAATTTAATAACATTTCATTGCATTATCCACCAAGTACATTTGGCGGCGTGTGTTGTAAATCCAGAAATAGAAGCTCTAATGAAGGCAGTTATCAATATTGTTAATTATATACAAGTAAGAGAATGGAATCACAGAAAATTTAAAGGCCTTCTGGAAGAACTGGGAAGTCAGTATAACGACGTCCTTTTACCTACCTCGGTGCGGTGGCTTAGCTGAGGAAATGTTTTCGAAAGGGTTTTTTCTTTGCGTCATGAAATAATACTGTTTTTAGAGCAAAATAATAAAGTGTACTCTGAATTACAAAATAATGAATGGTGTTGTATTTTAGCCTTCCTATGTGATATTAGGGAAAAACTAAATAATCTCAATCGGAGTTTACAAGGTGTAAATAATATGGTCTTCAATATGGCATATAAAGTGTTTGCATTTGAGGGAAAGCTAAGCATTTATCTTGAAGAAATACAGAACAAACAGCTGCACAATTTTCAAACTATGATAAAAACTACAAAAGACGGTACCAACATTTCGTAAGAAAACTGCTCCATAATTTCAAATTATATAACTGCAATTTTAAACGAATTTCGAAAAAGGTTTCAAGATCAAAGCAAAATAAACTTTGTTAAAATGTGTGTGTGGAAAATTTGTTACTTATAGAAAATTCATGGCATTTAGAAACAACGACTATCGCAGAGTTGGCTTCAGTTTTGGATTGTAATTACTCAGAGTTGTTTGATGAATTCATCGATTTTAAAAATGACACCAATGTAGAAGTTCTGTTCAAAGAAAAAGAGCAAACAGGGAATATGTGGAGTTTTGGAGTATTGTTCCCCAAAAATATAAGTGTCCAAAGATGTGCCCAAATACTACTAACATTATTTGGATCTACGTATGTATACAAATCGTCTTTTTCAAAAATGAAATACATAAAGACCGTGTACAGAAACAAACTTACAGATTCTCATCTGGATGATGTAATAAGGACAGCATATAGTGACAAACCAGATATTGAAAAAGTTTTGAAAAAGTGTTTACAGTATCAAAAATCGCTTTAAATCATATAAACATCTTTGTTAAAACTTCTTTTTTTCATTAATAAAGTAAATACATCGTTAACTTGGAATTATGTTTTAATTAAGACCTAAATAATTTTTGCTTGCGGCCCTCCATACTATGACTGAAACGTGTTTGTGGCCCCTATAAAAAAAGGTGGAGTACTCGTATGACTGGGGTAGTAGATATTCTTACATCGCCACTACACAGTAACAAAATAATGATATTTTGGGCTGATGTACTATATAGCTATTCTCTACAGATAAGTAATTTAATAAACAGATAAAAAAATAATACATTTATTAAATAAATAAAATTTACCATAATGAATAAAATTATCATAATATCAGACCCATTTCTTAAAAATGTCTTAATACTGATCTTATCATGAATAAAAATATCTTTTGAAGTGTTAATATATAGGAAACGATATTTATATATGTTCAGTTTACACCGAACACATTATGTACGCGTAGGCATTTTAGTTTAAAGTTTTTATTTAATTCAGTACATGTACGGACGCCAACATTGTCTCGTGTGTGCTCACATACATAACATTTATAAACATTATAATAATAAGAATACAAATAATAAGAATATAGATAATAATAAGAAAACAAAATTCCTGGCCAAATGTTAAGCCTCTCGGAAACAAATTTTAAAAATTAAAAAAAATGTTTGTACTCCAAGTCCTATACTATACTTTGAAAGATTAATATATTAATTTTTGTGTGAAACTGTTATGCTCATGCATACTTATTATTAACTAGTTATTACACTTTAAGAACTTGTTGCAAAATGATTCCATAGGAAATCATATGTATGTTAAATGTATATTAAATATTATTTATTGTATAAAGTAACATCTTAGTGTACGGTCACAGATTCAATAATGTTACTACGTACTCGTAAGTACGGTAGACTCGCGTATGTTAAGCCGGCGTCGTGTGTCCACTTTCATTTAAAATGGTCGAGATGGGCGATGGTTGCCACTTCTCTTATACTGTGAAAATGTGCTGCTTGGTTTAATTTCTAACCTCGAAAATTGATGGCTGTCACTTGTGTCATGCTTGTAAGCATATGCTTTAATTTCTAACGTCAAAAAATAAATTGTTTCAATTTCATTTAAAGCTAGGTGTTCTCAGCGCATTAGGTATTTACTAGCGGCCGTCGAAAAATCGAGTCGAGCCGCGCATATGATCGTGATTTTTACAAAATAATCACAAAATATTGTTTTAAAGTTATAAACAAATATTTACACAATGAGAAATAAACACACAAACAAAAGCTTAACTATTGTCTATATAAGTTCCATAAAACTATAGTTATTTACAATGTATTTTATTTCTTAAATATTATTTACGTAGCAAAAGCGAAGCGCGCGCGAAAAGTTTGGCACAGATCTCATTCTCACCTCAGCAACGTCCCGCGTATATTTATTTATCTATGCGGGACACTGGCAAGTGGCAAGCGACGCGCTGATCGAAAATCACTTGAATAATCAAAATTTTTTTAAATAAATGTAATGAAAAAAAAAACGATCGGGTGGACTAGATTCCAAAATGAATTATCTATAAATTGATATTTCTATAGAAAAAAAGGAATATTAGTACTTGTTTAAAATGAAATTTGGCTTGTAAAAAAAAACAACAAATCGAACGTAGTTCGGTAATTTTTTCTATCTAGAAAATTGTATTGTATCGTTTATTGATCGGGTACATCGTAAGGAGAAAGAATGGTTCTAAAATATATATCAAAACCAATTTTAAAACGGACATAAAGATAACTTCGCACATTGCGACCTGATTTTGAATTTTTTTTAATAAATAGGTGATCTAGTGGTAGTTTTTCCTTGTTCTTTTTACGATAACAAAAACCCAAACAAGAGGAAAATTCATTTTCTGAGTAAATTAAAGCTTAAGCTTTGTATTTTCAATTTAATTATTTTGAAAGTATGTTAGTAACCATTAATTTTGCAAAGAGCTTTAGGCCGAAGCCGGTGTGGCTTGTTTGTTAGTGCTTGTCTCGCCGCACATTATGTTAGTAATTTTGTTGTCCTTTAATTCGCAAAGACTTTAAGTTAATTAAATTATTGAAAGTAAAAAGAAGATTTCTTAAAAAAATAACTAGATAACTCGTACTCTTATTTTTATATTAGTTTCATTTTAATTTAGTTGTCCACTGTTAGACAGTTTCATGATTTATTTTAGACTATAATATGTCCCCCGCGACTTGCCCGCGTGGAATTTATTATGACTGGATTTCATGAGTTTTAATTTTTTTTGCACGAAACCCTAACTATTTTTCTAAAATAAAAGTAATCTAAGTTATTCCTTATAACATCAGCTATCAGCTAGTGAAAGTCCCGTCAAATCCAATCGGTCCAGCCGTTTCGGAGATTAGCCGGAACAAACAGACAGAAAGACAGACAAAAATTTTAAAAATTGCTTTATTGTTATTAGTATCGTACATAATTTCATATGCATCCAGTAAAAAGCTGTTATTTTGACATTACAAACTAATACTTCAATTTTATTTATTTGTGTAGATTTTACTTAGCGATTCTATTATTGACAAAGATGCAGCATCTTAAGCTGTTTTCTATGAAACAAAACTAAAGGCTTGAAAAAAATTCATCAATTAACGTCAGGTAGACTATGTGCTCGTTTGTCACCCTTATTCTATAAACAAATATAAGTAAAGCATAATGGTTTATTATATACATTTTCCCACATTTTCGCAAAAAGAAGGGGGGCTGCTTACGCCGCCGCAACTGCCTAGGACAATAACATTAGATGCAATGGTAGTTAGAATTAATACAAAAGAATACGTGTTTTCCAATCCGCCATCCAACTTTGTCATAATAACCACTTCTAACGCTATTCACTAGCTTTTTGAAGTGATTATCGTGAATATAATAAATAATTTGTTAATATTTTTCATATAAAACTAAAAAAAAATATTGTAATGGTGATGTTAAAGTGAAGCGAAGTGAAGTGCAAAAAATTGCCGTAATAATTTTATGTTCAACCAAGGTTAAAAATTGCAAAAATTGCGTTTTTCGTTTTGACAATTGCAAAAGTTGGCAAGTAGTTCAAATCTGCCGTACGAGTTCTATTGCCTGTTTATTTATATTTATACGGTAATATACATAATAAATTTTCAGTTAACTAGCCTTAGGCCGCGGAACGCGAAACACGTATTTGTATAGCCTACAAATAATTGTTCCGGGTCTGGATGTTTGTCCTTGTGAATTTATGTATGCCAATTGCCGACGAGAAAATCCTAGTGGAGGTTTTTTTTTACAAAAATAAGAATTAATAAATAATATTAAAATGTAATAATATATGCAATATATAATTACTTGATAAGTGAGTGGCAGGTTTAAGAATTGGTATATATACCAATTCTTATACCATATCATACCATATATATTTGAGATAAGCGATGAGGGTTTGTGATAAAGCTTCCGTCTATTATTTTCTTGTGTCAGCATAAAGTAAGGTATAAAACGTTAGTCCAAAAGTGCCATTATTTTCCGACATAGAAATTCGAATATAGATGACACAAATATCGAAGTGGACAGAAATCATAAATTTATGCTATTACTGAATACTTGAAGCACATATTTTAAAAATGATACGATCATAGTGAAGTATGCCTTCATTGTGATTTAAAGTAGGCCGATTCGTTTCTAAAGTTTTATCTTAAAAATAATTCCAGGAGTTACTTTTCTTCTTTTGTAAATGAGGATATTTTAAATTAAATATTTATTATACTCTGCAGAGTTGTTTTTAGCGTGCAAGTTTTCGTAAATGATAACTATTGTTTATGTTCAGTAAGTAAATTCTCACTTCTGGGCATAGGCATCCTCTCATTTCTAAAATGATTTTAGAGCAGGGAAGATTTCACAGTATCAGAGCGTGTTGGCGAACTAAATATCAAAATATTTTTGATTTCTCGTCAACCAGGATCTCAAAGTCTATATTGTAAGTAAAAGAAAAAGAAACAAATATAATATATTATAGGTTATTTGCAATAATCATTCTTCTCCGTTACTACCAATAATTTTTACACTTTTTTATACACAGTACCTGCTTTTGACCTGTATGTGTCTACGTATGTATGTAATGAAATGTTATAGATCATTTTTTACCCACTTTCAGACGTTTGAATAATTTGAAATACAATCTACAATAAATTCATGATCAGTATTGATCCCGTATTCTCACTGAGATCGCGGTTCATGTGATCATTGAGTTTTGATAAAATATATTTTTAAAGTCTTAAATTATTCCTAGTTAATTGATTTTGGAATTCTAAAAAAGTAATTTAGAGTTAGACTTTGAAACGAAAATTTTCTTTTGTTTTATATAACCATCGTATTCGCTCATACATGATGAGATTTACAATAGTTACACAATAAATGGAACTAGAATAATTATCCCACGGGCTTGATCTTCGCTATCTCTCTAACCCATGTTAATGTCAGGCTTAAATTATAAAAGGTAATTTATAATAGTACAGACAAAACTGCGACATACCTACTCAAATAAGTATACTACAATAGCTTTATTTCATTTTGAATGCTAATATGACTTGTGGTATATTATTTTTTATATATTTATTACCTTCATCTTCGAATAATGGGAAAGATACATCAAATATCTGTAACTAAAGATGCAATTACATGATCCCATCCCCACATTTTACCTTTCAGTCGTACATTTCTCTACCCCCTAGTGTATTGTATAATCTCAGTTTACGTGAATGACTTATACCATCTTTATAGAAAACCGTAAATATGACTACCGTTTATAAGAGTGAATGTAATAATCTAACTATAAAAAAGTGAAACCAAACTTTAAAAACATAAAAAAATAGTTTTTGCATATTATATATTGAAGTCGAAGCTAAAGCACATTAGTAGGTACATTGAAGAATTAGTTGATTTCGTAAAGACGATACTTACAGTAAATCTTAATAACTGATATAATTCAAC